CTTGGAGTCAATCAATCAGCAAGCTTTGTCATGTCTGCTTACCTAATATCTCTCAAATCCACCTACTTCTCTTTGTTCCAGTGCAACTGCCCTGCTTTGAGTCGCCATCAGCTCCTGCCTGGATTATAGCAAAGACCACCTCTGAGCCATCTCTGGGCTCCAGCCTCACCTCCCCATCTGTTCTCACCCTGCAGCCAGGGCAAATCTGATCATGTCACCTTCCTGATTAATGGTCTTTAACTTTGAAGTTTTAACTTCTCTGCTTAGCACACATGGTCCTTAACAACCCGGCTCTGTCTGCATCATCTGCCTTCCCTGTCACTTCCCCAAAGGTACTCTCGGCTTTGGCCAGCAGAACTATTTTATATTTCATGCTTAATAGTGAGAAATTAGATGCCTTCCCTAAAATTGAGAACAAGGCAAGGATGCCCCCTCTCATAACTCCTATTCAACATTGTACTGGGAGTTCCAGCTAATATAAACATAAGACAAGAAAGGAAATAAAAGGTATACAGATTGGGAAGGAAGAAATAAAACTGCTTGCAGATGACATGATTGTCTAAGTAGGAAGTCCCAAAGAATCAACAAAAAACCCTCCTGGAACTAATAAGCAATTACAACAAGGTTGTAGAACCCTAGCTTAACATACAAAAGTTGATTGCTTTTCTATATACCAAAAAGGAGCAATTGGAATTTGAACTTAAACAATACTATTTATATTAGCATCAAAACCAAAATTACTTAGGTATAAATCTAACAAAATATGTATAAGATCTATATGAGGAAATCTACACAACTCTAATGAAAGAAATCAAAGTAGATCTATATAAATGGAAGGATATTCCATGTTCATGGATAGGAAGACTCCATATTGTTAAGATGTCCGTTCTTCCCAGCTTGGTCTATTGAGATTCAATGCAATCCCAATAACAAAGCAAGATACTTTGTGGATATCAATAAGCTGATTCTAAAGTTTAGATGGAGGAGCAAAAGACCCAGAACAGCTAGCACAACATTGAAGAACAAAGTCAGAGAACTTTGACACTATTCAACTTCAAGACTTACTATAAAACTATAGCAATCAAGACAAAGTGTTATTAGTGAAAGAACAGGCAAGTAAACCAATGAAACAGAATAAAGAGCCGAGAAAGAGACCTACACAAATACAGTTAACTGACCTATGACAAAGATGCAAAGGCAATCCAGTGGAGAAAGGGAGTATTTTCAAGAAACAATGCTGGAACAAGCAGGCATTTTTGTGAATAAAAATGAATCTAGACACTGACCTTGCACCTTTCACAAAAATTAACTCAAAATGGATTAGAAACCTAAATGTAAAATGCAAAACTATAAAACTTCTAGAAGATAACAGCAGAAAATCTAGGTGACCTTGGGTTTGGCAATGAATTTTTAGATGCAACAGCAAAAGCATGATCCATGAAAGAAATTATTGATAAATTTGACTTCATTGAAATAAAAAATTTCTGCTCTGCAAAAGACAATGTTAAGAGAATGAAAAGTCAAGACAGACTGAGAGAAAATATACCTGGCACGTAACAGAAGCTATGTAAATGTTTACTGCATGACAATGAATGAGGATGTGGCACTGGGAGGCCTCCAGCAGGCCTTAAGAATCTGATTTTCATCCCTTGGATACTTGCATGTACTGTCACTGGGAGAATCGCTTCCATGGGTTCTCCCTGCTACTCTCAAACTCTTCATTCTGTTTTTTTCTTTTTTATCAGAACCTATGCAATCTAAAATAATTATTCTTATTTGTTTACATGTCTATCAGCCCCCACTAGCCTGTGGGCAACATAAAATCGAAGGCTATGGCTGCTGTGCTCACCTCGATCTCCCCAGTGGAAGATGGAAGATGTGTGTGGGGTGCTGGGCTGGGCAGTGAGGAAGATTGCTCAGAAGTTGCCCGGCCCTGGAGAAGCTGGGGGTCCAGCAGGGATGAGTGGGGTGGGTCAGAGATGCACTCAGCACAGATGAACAGCATGTGAAATGTCTCCACAGAGGAATGTTCAGGATGCTAGGGACGGGAGTAGAGAAAGGCCTGCTTGTAAATCTGGTGGTAACACAGGGCCTGGAACGGAAGTTCATTTACTTGTCAGAGAAGGTTCCAGAAGGGGTAAGCATGGGCACAGACTTGAAAATGAAACACAGAGCAAGGGCTGTGAGTGAAATCCTGATGTATTCACAGTATCCGGAACAATCTGAGGCATCTGAGGCAGGCGAGGGGAAGAGGGAACAGACCACAAAGATCTCTGATCACCTCTCCCCCAAGTGTAGACTTTCTCTCTTGTTGGAGGTCCTAGAAAAAACAGTCCTGCGGGGAGAATTTTGGACTCCTCATCCCCTGGGCATGCTGCTCAGTCATCACACTGTGTCTGACAGATGAGGGTCTGACAGAAAACAAATGACAGCTTAGCGCTGTTTGGTGGATAAACGACAATAAATCGACAGGCCTGTGGTTCAACAAATCAACGGGTTCTGCTACCATGGCAACAGAGTGACAGGGCAACTCTAAAATAAGAGGAAAAGAGGAGCAGGCCAGAAAAGGTGTAGAGAGAAATCTCAGAAGATAACTGGAGGAAAACACAGAGACAGGGCATCTGAGTTGAGAGCCAGAGCTGGCTCTCCTCCAGCCTGGCCTGGGAGGGTCTGGATGCCCCGGGGGGGGGGGGACCCTCCCCTGTCCCAGACTCAGTTCTCTCTCTATACAGAGAGGCACTTCCATGGCAGCCCACAGCTCCTCAGTTTGAGAATCACTGCCCTGGAAGGTCTGGCAAGGGCTAGGGTTCTATGCTCAGAGCTTGAGAGCAACAGGACTTATTACAGAAAGGAAGAAAGGGAAGATGATGACAGCAAACCATCACTTACTAAACGAATCGGACTGCACAAGGCTGACCGCCTTGAAAAGGTCCAGGGGGACAGGCTTCTTAGATCCATTTTTGGAGTTGGCTGACTCAGGCTGACTCCAGCTCCACAGCCTCTCCCCACCACAGCCAGAGCCTGGGGACCCCTAGTGAATGCCCAGCCCCAACTTAACCTTGAGTGAAGGTAGCCGTGCCCATGTCCTTGCCTGCCCTTGGGCTCAGTATCAAGCCAACTGTATCTGTTTTCTGTCCACCTGCCCTACTCCAGGTCTTCCCGAGGGCTCTGTTCGACTGGCCTCTCTTCCCTCTCTTTCTTTCCTCAGTCAGCCATGACTGTATTTTAGTCCTCATCTGCAGAATGTGGACACACTCCCCTGTCCTACTTGCTTCACAGATCTGTGGCCAATGACCAAAGGTCTATGAAGACCCCTAAAAATGCAAAGTGCTGTCATTGGTGAAAGGCAGGGTGGGGTAGTGGATGAGAGGGTAGTCAGTGGTGTTGCCACTAACCTGCTGAGTAATCTTGGTTAAATTATATAGCCTCTCTGGGTTTGTTTCCTCATCATTAAAAAAAAATTTTTTTTTATTGATTTCAGAGAGGAAGGGAGAGATAGAAACATCAATGATGAGAGAGAATCATCAATCAGCTGCTTCCCCCACGCCTCCCACTGGGTATCAAGCCAGCAACCCGGGCATGTGACCTGACCGGGAAATGAGCCGTGACCTCCTGGTTCATAGGTTGAAGCTCAACCACTGAGCCATGGCGGCCAGGCGGTTTCCTCATCATTACAATGGGATCACACTGCCCAGCCAGTGGTGAATGAGGAATTCCCCCGGGGTGGGCTGGGGGACAGGACTACTCCTTTGCCACTTGTATGGATGAATGGTGACCAGATAGCACCTCCCTTCTGGAAATAGCCTGCTACCCAGGTGACCTCAGCGGAGCTCCTGCCCCTTGATCCATGGGCACAGCCAGTGTTGGATCTGTCTGGGTCTGTTGGGTCTGCTTCCTTCCAGGAAGGATGTACACCTAAGGCAACGAGACGAAGGCCATAGCCCTAAATCTCCCTCCTAAATCCACACTGTTAGAAACTGCATCCTCGGCCACCACTCTGACTGCATAATTTCTCACTGTGCTGAGCAAACCCTGTCTGTCTCCAGACAAACGGTGCTGGGCATCTTATTTGCTAGAAAACCTTCTTGTCCAGAACGATAAAAGGTTCTGGCCGCAATGCATAAAACAACGGTTTCCAGGTTAGTTTAAGAAGTCACACTGAAAGCCACACAAAAAATTTCCCTAACCATGCAGTAGGAGAAATGGAAAAAATTCCAGTTTTCTCATCAGAATTTACTACTCCATAGAGAAATCACAGCATACAGCACACCCTGCACAGCCGGCTCTCTCTACCTAGGGCATCTTTAACTGTTCCAGAGAAAATCAACAAAAATATGCTTCCCTAATCTTGATCTTCCCTAATCTTGAGCATCCTGGGAAGATCACTGAATGAAGGGCAAGGCTGAATACAAAACTATTCCAATATATGTTTAACAGTACTTTTATGTAAGGTTCTTTATTTTAACAAACAAATTTCAGATATCAAATGTGGAAAAAGAAGTCTATTGTTTATCACTTTGAAAATCATATAGTACCTCACAGGAGCTCTCAGCATGCTTATTCCCTAGGAGCACTCATTAGGGAACTAATTTTAAAGAAGAGAATAACAATGCAATGTAATTTCTGGACCAGTAGATCATATAAATGGAGATTTCTACAATGTGTAGAAAATATATTCATATCAGCAGCCCAACATTTCCCCTTAATTCTGCATATATCAATATACCTAGACAAGTTCTTTCACCACCGACCCCAGGAGTGAAGACGGTCTATCTGGCCTTCCTGAAATAATGTTGGTATCAAACGGAGGAAAGCAGAAATAATGAGATGTCCCTGATAGAGAATGTGGGCCCATGTGGACCTGTGATGATTTCCCCGTGACAATCTTGATTTCTTCTCAAGGAGTGTACCATGGGCAGCCGAGTAGACGGCTGCCTCTGTCCCCAGGTGTCAGGGAGCAGCGTCCCGAGGGCCTCCCTCCTGCTGGTGCCTGCGCTTACCTCCATGCTGTACTTCTCCACCGTCCTTCTCAGGGGGTCCACAGCCTGCCAGCAAATCAGGATGCACAGGTCAATTAGCAGCATGCCCCCGACGATCACAAGCAGTTTCTGGTCCTTGATGATCTGCAGAGAGGGTGAGAGCAGCACGCAGTGCATGTGAGAGAGAGAACTTCCCAGACAGAAGTGAGGGGCCGGGTCAGGGAGTGACGGAATCAGGTCACCCTCAGTGGGAGAGTCTCCTGAGACTCATCATCGCAGGATAAACCAGCCAAGCTCCCTGCTGGACATTCAAGGTCCTTCCCGAGCGTGGCCAGGCCACCCTTACACACACGCTGCACTAGGAGTCTGACGACTCCTAGTCTGTGGCCCTGCTGTGATTTTCACCTCCCACTCCTGTTTAGGAGCTGGTTCTTTTGTCCAAAACACTCTTTTCTTTCGGTCTGGCAAACTCCTAATAATCTTAAAGACCCAGATCCATTGTTATCCCCTCCATGAAGTCCCCTCTCACTCCCACAGCAGAACTAATTACTTCTAGAGCACTGTTCAGATACTTCATTATCAGGAGTAGTAATAGTCTAAGAACAACCTGCCTCAAGTTTGACGGCTTTACATACATCATCTCATATCTAAAGACGCACATTGTTTTTCCCATTTTATGGATGAAGAAACTGAGGCTAGTGCAGGGTTAAGTAATTTGCTCAGAGTAATACTGCTACTAAGAGGTGAAGCCCAGGTTGGAACCACGTTTCTCCTATCTCCAGGGTCCATACCCTCCAATATTTACAGCCCCGACCCAATATTATATTAAGTTGTATACACATCTGCCCTTCTCAGTTAACATTTATTTGTGTACCCTCAGTACCTAGCAGGGCCTGGCACGCAGTAGGGAATTTGATGGATTGAACTGAGATGAAGGAATATAAAAAGAAGAAATATAACTTCCATCCGTCTTTGCAGCCTTTGATATCTTTATTGCACTATGAAATTCCCACCCCACTTTCTGTCCGTTTGGTAGGGATTGGCCTGGGGACAAACGCTGTCAGTGCCAAAGCTAACTTGTGTTTCACTCACTGCATGTTTATGTACCATCCCCACCTCCAATAAAAGCTAATGTGAAGAAGTCGTTCTAGAAAAGATTATAGAAAAATAAACAAAGCTGAGGCAGAAGCTTAAGAAATATCACCAGGTCTGGCTTTTAATGATTAAAGCCATTTTTAAAGGAGAAATAGAAACTCAAGGGACCTCTTTGCAGCTGAACCATGAAAAGAACAGGAAGAAAGTATCTCTGAGTTATTGCTGAAGAGATCCAATCTACCAAAACCACTTTACCTGGGGCGAGCACTGGCAAAGCCCTCTCCTTGAGATTTTCCAGAAGCATCTAAGGAACCGCTGATGCTTTTCATAAACCCAGCTAACCTTTGCCCGCGGGGAAGCTAAGCAACACCCTGCCAGCCTTGAGAAGTTGGGCCAAAAGGAGGAAATGCCTGAGGAGCTTAGGACTCGGAGGACAGGCTGGCAGGGTGATGCTCACCCAGGGCGGTTTGAGTCCCCGAGCATTTGCCCACGCTGTGCCTGACCCGTGGAAGGTCTTTCCCCAGCCTTTCTGCTGGCACCCTCCTACCCTGATGTCCCCACGAGTAGCCACTTCACACTATATTTCTGATCATTTGATTTATGTCTGTCATCCTACTACATTGTGAGCTCTGTGCAGTTTGGTTTTTGCTAATTGCCCCATTCTTAGCACCTGTCAGCGAAAAAGTACTCAATAAGCATTGGCTGATGGATGATGCTCTAAGAAAACATGCCCCGAGCACTCACTCAGTGCCAGGCCCTGTGCTGGGCACTGGTGACACAGAGATGGACAGACCCCGGTGCTGCCCTCCAGGGTTGGCAGGAGAGACGGACTTGTCCTGGATGATGACAAGAGGGTGTTGGAGGAGAGGAAGTGGATTCACAGAGGAGAAGCTGGGGGACACGGGGCTTGGGAGGAGGGAACGTCAGGCAACGGAGGCAGCACTGCAACATCACAGAGGAGCTTCCTGGATGGCAGCTGAGGGAGGGACCACGTCATGCCACCTGGTTCCAGTCTCCTGTGACTCCCCGTCATGCACAGGATAAATTCAGCCAAGCTCTTTTGCTTGGCATTCAAGCCTTTCCCAAGCTTGGTCTGACTACTCCCCAAGCAAGTGCACTTCCTTGCTGCTTAACCTTTCCCTACTCTGTGGCTGAGTTGTGTTTTTCACCCTTCAGGCTTTGTGTGTGGCTGGGCATGAGTGGGGTGGGTAGGGGATGGCTGGAGACAGGGCTAGGTGGAGGGGGAGAGCTTGCGTGACATAATGGGGCCTCACAAGGGTCCACTGGAGGTTTGAGCATCTTTAAGCATCAGTGTGATAGGAGCAGTCTTCAGTACTGAGGGGTAGACTGGAGGCGGAGGCTTGCGGTAGGAGACCAGTTAGAAGCTAGGGTAGTTGTCCTGGTGAACAGGGAGGAGGCAAGATGCAGAGCAGTGGCTGCCAGGATGGACAAGAGGATGCCGAGGCCACAGACACTGGGCATCCTCCTGTCCATCTGGCTTTAGCCTCTCAGTCCCCTCCCCTCCCCAAATTTCCCCCACCAGTAAGTGCCAGCACCTCCAGATCCCATCTTCTCTGCCATGGCTTTCTCATGAGACTAAAGGCCTACTACTCTTCCCATAGTCTTACTTTCAGGAGGCAATAAGGACCTTGAACTTACTCAGTCGTGCCATTTTCTCTTGCTCTCTTCCCATAAGGTACAGAAGTGTGGAACACCTTACACTCCAGCACACAAACCTTGGGCCTGTTGGGACTACACAGTACACACTGGACAGAAAGTGGCACATTGAAGGGAAAGAGCTGAGAGACATGGGGCGTGGCCACACTGAAGGAGTCACCTGCAAGGGATGGAGACTTCCCTTCAGAGTGGATGCAGCACCTCTTCCGCTGCTACCCAAATGGGAAGGCATCCATGTGGCACAGCTGGCCTTCAAAGATGAGCACCAGAACTTCCCTTTGATAAATGTGATAGTCTTCCCAATTTTAAGGCTCAAGTATGAAGTTTGAGGTAGCACGTTACAGTGAGAAAACACGATTTGAGATTATGTGGACCTGGATTTGGCACTGACAGCATTTGTGGCTGCATCTCTTGCTACCTGTGTGATCTTGGGCAAATCACTTCCTCTCTCATTCTGCAGTTCTCATCTATAAAATGGCAAGGAGCAGAGGGACGAAGGGAGTAGGGAGGCTCATGTATTACCTCTAAGTATGGTGCCAAGGGAAGAACATGGACTTTGGATTTAGAAGATCTCATTCGAATGCCAGCTCTTGACAAATGTGATCTGGGGCTCATTTCTACCTCTAAAACTGGGATCACTGAGCCCGAAGCTGCAGAGTTGGTATAAGACTAAAATGAGATATATTGAAAGCACCTAGTTACAGTGTCTGGCACAGAGAAGATGCTCAACAAATGGCAGCTATGTGTTATTTGGCTACCATTACTTGGGTTTTGATAATTAGCAATTCTGTTTATGTGCCTGGCAGTGACATCTAGGGGCAAAATGTGATATTGCACCTCAGCTCTACTAGACCCAGGGCTAATGATCACACTGATGGATCCATGGTTGGAAGAGAATAAGAGGAAGGACATGTCTCATTTCCTTTTGGCACCATTTCCAAAGCCTGGCACTTGGCCCGTGTTTGTGACTGAATGGATTTAAGCCACATTTCATTTATTAATTGCAGAAAAACTTTAGTGCGTACTCAGAGTGAGCTATTTTAGGCACAGGGATGGGCAAAACATAAATATCTCATCCTCATGAAGCATGCATGATAGTGAGGGAGACTGTGAATAACTTGATAAATACTCACACATATACACAATAGAAGGTCAAGGAGAGGTGATTTAAAATAGCCTTTTAAAAAGAGATCTAAATTTTTAAATTTAAAAATAGCACTGACCTGATCATACAAAGCCTGAGCACCAGAGCATCCTCACGTTAGGCAAGGCCAGCTCTCAAGTCTCCCATCAGCTTCCCTGACTTCCTTATTTTTCAGCTTCCTCTTCTCTCTGTGATATCACTGCATATTGATGCTTTCATGCTCCTTCCTCTCTCTGAGGCTAGCAAGTTACTAGCGCTCCATCCTCACTGACAGAGATGGGAGTGAAGGCACCCAGGAATGAGGAAGCACCAGGTTCTGGAACCAGATCTGAGTTCCATCTTACAACTAGCTATATGATCTTGAGTAAGTCTCTTAATCTGTCTGAGCCAGTGTCCTCATCTACAAAATGGGGTGATAACTACATAAACCACGTTAGATTATTAGAGCTTTGCTTACAGTTACTGTTCAACAGATTATTATTATTATTATTATTATTATTATTATCTATTATTATTACATGTCAATTCCCACTGTTGTTAGAACAGGGATTAGCAAACTACAAATATGGCCCACTGCTTGTTTTTATAAATAAAGTTCTATTGGAACACGGCCTTTTCCATTCACGTATGGATACCGCTGCTTTTATTCTACAACTGCAGAGCGGAGTGGTTGCAACAGAGACCGTACGGCCTGCAAAGCCTGACAGAGTTACTTTCTGGCTCTTTACAGAAGAAGCAGCTGACTCCTGGTTTCCTAAAAAGGCATTTCTTTACTTCTTCAAAAACCTTCAGATATTTTTTTGACCGATTCAGACTGGACTTCTCTAGGACCAACTCATTGTCTGGTTTCAGGTACACCATTCCAGGGGGAATACAGTGTGAATGGTGTCTCCCGGGGTTGTGCCACACAGTGGCCCTGCCTTCCTGTGTCACTCAGATGGCTGATGCTTTAGTGAAGCTGTTCAAACTCCTCTCTTGGCATTTTCCTCAAGCTGAGCCTGGATAAAGACCTGAGTGGATGTCCCTATGTCACTGATGGCAACGGAATCAAGTAATATTTGTAGTGAACTTTCTTTTCCCTAAAAAAAAAAAAAGACAACAACAACAAAACCCCCTCTGCCCACAGGAGAAGATCTCATCTCTGAGTTACTGCCCTCATCTCAACATTTCAGCTCGGCTCTAGTAAGAGGCAGAATAAAGACTGCAATAAGGCTTCTCAGTTCAAGAGTTTATGACTGGCCCTTAGACAAAAGAGTAAATGCTATAAAAATACTGAATTTGGGAGCATTAAATCACCACATGTCAATAGGCTTCTTTTCCTTTAATGTCTTAAAAAAATCTAGCCATATGGGTGGAGTTTATGTATGTGCATTTAGGGAGGGCATGCCATCGTGGATGGAGGGACAAGGAGGTGGGAGCCAGAGAAAGAAGAAAAAGATAAAAAGACTATATGAAAAAAAGCCTATAATTGCATTTAAAAATTTTTATAAATCTAGTATATATGTCAGTAAAAAAAAAATTAAGGAGTCCATTTTAATAAAAAAGTCTAAACTAAAAATAAAACCACAATGAAACTAAACAATAAAAACCCATCTTGGCCATATAAAAGAAAAGCATGGAGCATTCAATCCCAGTTTTGACCTGCAACTACCACAACCCTTTCAAAACGATCTGGTTCCCAGCCTTGAGTTTCCAATTATAAGACAAAGGTCTCTTTTCCACCTTCAACTCCTCTAGTTTGGTTTGTGAATGCGGCCCTGCAAACCTGCCCCTGGAGTAAGTAGGAGGCCGAGAGCAGGAGTTTCTCCTGATGGAATGGTGTGTGCATCTGGCCTTAATCATCTGCACAACAGACACAACTGGTGACCAAATCTGTACTCAGAGCCTTTTGCAGTTTCTCAGACAAGACCCCTAGGCCCACCACCAGCGGGAGCTCTCAGGTGCCCAGGCTCCCAGGGGTGCAGCAGGCTGTGGCCACATCACAGGCTCTGCCTCTGGGGAGCTTTCAGACAACTCAACTCCGATAGTCTTCTTGACATGTTTTGTCAACTGTTACCAGATAATCAGTGTTCTTGCTCACCGATCACATGAGTAATGGGACATAAAGGCTGGTTCTTTATTACAGATCACAGTATGGATGAATCACATGTTGGCACAGAGGAATCAACACTGCGATTCTTTAAAGCCAGGATGGAGCTGTCCGAGTGGCAGAGCCTCTCTCTAACCAGAGCCGCAGAGCAGGAGGGCTCAGGAAGTCCCTCGGTGCCTCTCAAACTTTGGCTTGCATCAGCATCCTGGGAAGGGCTGGTGAGAAACAGGCTCCTGGGCTCCCACCAGGATTCCTAGGGCTGGGGCAGGGGAGGGAGGGTGTGGAACTGAGAATGTGCATTTCTAATAAGCTCCTAGATCAGCAGTTCTCAACCTGTGGGTCGCGACCCCTTTGGGGGTCGAACGACCCTTTCACAGGGGTCGCCTAAGACCATCGGAAAACACATATATAATTACATATTGTTTTTGTGATTCATCACTATGCTTTAATTATGTTCCATTTGTAACAATGAAAATATATCCTGCATATCAGATATTTACATGACGATTCATAACAGTAGCAAAATTACCGTTATGAAGTAGCAACGAAAATAATTTTATGGTTGGGGGTCACCACAACATGAGGAACTGTATTAAAGGGTCGCGGCATTAGGAAGGTTGAGAACCACTGTCCTAGATGCTGTTGATGCTGCTCTGGCCAGTCCAGCCCTCACTGTGTAGCTTTGATCTGTCTATTAGTATCACTTAGCACAATCCCAAAACTCCCGATGCTCAGCCCCAGCCCTAGAGTTTGGTTTCAACTGGCTTGGGCTGGCTTACTTCTTGTAGTTTTCCAAAGCTCCCGTTTGATTGTAATGTGCAGCCAGGGCTGACAAGGGTGGCTAACCAGGCTTCTCATCTTACACAAGTGCTGGAAAGGAAGGAAGGGGCCCTACAGGTGAGCACGAGCAGTGGGTGGCCAAGTGGGGCTCTTTCCTCCCTCTAAATGCCGCCTGCAGCTTTCCTAAGGGGCAGGGGACCGAGAAGGGAGGATTGCCCCATCCTCCCCCCAATCTGGAGAGCTGCTCCTAAAGTAGTGCTGGCAGTGGAAGAGGTGAGTGGTGAGGATGACCAGCAAGAGGTGCCACTGGGTGCCAGGCAGAATCACAGCTCAGGAAACAATGTCATTTCAACATGTCCCCGTTTTATAGATAAGGACATAGAGCAGTGATGGCGAACCTACGACACGCGTGTCAGAGGTGACATGCGAATTCATTTTTTTGGTTGATTTTTCTTTGTTAAATGGCATTTAAATATATAAAATAAATATCAAAAATATAAGTCTTTGTTTTACTATGGTTGCAAATATCAAAAAATTTCTATATGTGACACGGCACCAGAGTTAAGTTAGGGTTTTTCAAAATGCTGACACGCCAAGCTCGAAAGGTTCGCCATCACTGACATAGAGGCTCTGAAACATGAAGAGATTTGCCTGAAGTCCCACGGCAGGTCAGTGGTGAAGCAGGGAGTAGACGCCCGCTCTCCTACTTTCCTGCTGGCCCCACTGCACTGGCACACCTGCTGTCTGCCCCAGGTGCCAGGGCTCATAACCCAGTAACCAGATGGCAAACACAAGCTTGGGATGAAGAATCAGAACAACACGCACCACGTCCAAAGTGGGATGAGACCACAATGCAGGGGAGATGTCTGTCAACAGGTTATACCCACGTCAGGGGTTTACAAAGTAAGAGTGTGTGTGTGTTTGGGGGGGGGGGAGGGCGGTTCGGGGGGGTTTAATCAAGAAGAGGAATTTTGGAAAGCGGTGTCATGATGTTCTGAGACCTCCCTCCCCAAAGGTGAGAGGGTGGGGGGTGGGGATGGTTCCTCCTTGACCTCAAATCAAGAGAGAGGTTTTAAGAAGAGCCCTCAGGGGGCTTGACTGATAGCGGTTCCTGCAGCCTGGGGAGGGGAATCCAATGAACTGATGCCTGACTGTTGTCTGAGAAGCCTATGGGAGGGGATGACAGGCTGGCCAGCTGCCCTTGAGGTGGGGGGAGGAGGCAAAAAGGGGGCGTCTGTTACAGTGGGGTCAATCCAAAATCCTTGAGATTATAAGAGTGAAGGATGTGCGAGTGCCTCTTGCATAGCAGAAGTGGCTCACAGGGCAAGGGAGTGCTGTGTGGCCCTGAACAAGACAAGCTGGAGGGTGAGCTGAGCCCAGGAGTGGGGGAACCGCCAGATGCTCAGGGTAGAAGAAGAAGCCACAATGGCCAACTGGCAGAGTATTTCACCCATGACAAGGGCACTGCTGGAGAGAAAGTCCCAGTAATGGGGCCTTTGGAAAACCCACAAAGACACCCAGAGAGTCTAAAGGGCCTGCTTAATCTATGCCAGGCCCAGCAAGCCCAATGTCAGCTACTGGCAAGTAAGGTCATTCCTGCCCCTTCTACTACTCCAAGCTCCAACTCTGGAGGGTTCAGAAACCTTGGGAATGAGCTGGAAAAAGAGAAAAACAGCCCACCTGCACCCCTTCTCCCAGGGCAGGTGGCAGGCCTGCCACAGGGCTGAGCTGGGGAGGGAGAAGCTGTGCCCTTGAATGCAGCTTGAAATTTTGGATATTATGATGGACTCCACATATTAGTTGCTGACAGAGGACCTTCAAAATCATGAGACTTGCCCCAAATTTTATCTAGGAGCAACGGAGGAACAGCACCACTGGAAGAGTTAAAGGGACAGTGTTGGAGAAAGTTTCTCTCTGACATCCTAAGAATCAAGCTTAGTCAGCATGCTGGTGACAAATGCTTTCCACCCACATGAAGACAGAACTCCTGTCTTCCAAGGGCCTCTTTGAACATGGAATGATTAAATCAGGTCCCTGTCCTGTATCACTCCCCTCTTTTAAGGGATCCCAGTGCTCAAAAGTTAAAGTTCAGATTCCTTACCATGACTCCTGCCTTCCCCTGGAGCCTCTTCACTACCCTGTCCCCACGAATCCCGTGCCCCAGCCACACTGAACCTCTTTCAGCAACAAGAATACACCTTCCCCTCCCCAGGCCTCTGTGCACTATTCCCTCTATAGGGCTCGAAAACTCCCCAGCCTCTGTCTGGCTAATCCCCACTCACCCTCCAGCCTCAGCAAGGTGACACTTACTACATGAAGCCTTCCCTGAGTGCTCGTACCCCCCCCCCGCCCCGCCCCCCCTGCCAATATGTCCCTGATCAGCCCTTATCACTGTGCATGAGAAACCCTTTGTTAACTGTATGATTTTCCCAAGTGACTGAAGGTATAGATGGGGTGGGGTGGGGCAGGGATTGTGTTTATCTTGAATTCCCAGCAAATAGCCTAGTGCCTGGCACATAGTAGATGCTTAATAAATATTTGTTAAATAAATGCTACCTGGACACTGCAGACACCCTGAAACAGAAGGAGTGATTACCTTCTTCTTCATTTTCACATTTTTGAAGATGGCGTGGACTCTCCATGTCTTTGCAAACATTGCCCCGAAGGCGGTTGTGTAGCCCACGGTGAGAATCCAGGTTCTGACCTAGAGGCCATGAGAAAACACAAGCATTAACACCTCCTAGGTGGACCGACCCCGTCATTTATGAGAGTTTCCCAACAAGGGGACTCTAGATGATGGGAACAGACACTCTACATTTCATAGTTTACTAATACCAACAGTCTTTCAATCGCATTTCAATTTGATAGACATTTAGTCTATCAGCACTTGCTGGATCCAGGGCCCTGGGCACTGAGGCATTTGAGATTCAAATCCTGCCTTCGATTAGGCCCCAAGGAAGCCAGCCACAGAGAGAGGCATGAAAGGCCCCAGGACAGCCCTCTGGCCTTCCCTCTTTCCTTTCTTCCTTGAGTGCCTTCCGTGTGGGGAGACAGACCTGCAGAAGGGAACATAATTGCTGCCTTCTCTGTTTCTTCACTTGAATCTATAGGAGACCAAGTGGCCCCGGAAGCTCTTCTATGGGTCCTGTGTTTTGGGCAGTGGGCGGAGGAAGTAACGGAGCCACAGGGGCTGAGCCTGGGCAGGTGAATGAGCCCGTGATGGGCCCCCTCAGTGTTCAGCAAACCCAGCACTTTGGTAGGAAAAGGCAGGACTTGGCTAGAGCTGGCCCTGGAGGACACATTGTGCACCAGGCCAGCTCCAGGCCATCATGAGGGGCTGCTCATTTAGGGAGGAAGGCCAGAGGAAAAGGGCTAGGACCTTCCCACTCCGCCCAGGGCCTCTTTCCTCAGGCATTTGGAGGAAGAGAGGAGTGGATGCTGCCCGGATTCTGCTGCCCAGCCACCCCGGCCCTCCCACCACAGTTAGGCCACTTAGCGCCTACTGAACTGCGACCTCAGGAGTCTGGTTACTCAGTGCTAGGCCAGCCTGGTCCCTGAGCCCATGCTGGACCATGGGTCCCTGCTCAGGACTAAGACTCTGTCTGGCTGTTGCCTGTTCCCCAGGACAAAGATGTACCCTGATCCCCAGCCCTGGGCTGGTGACTGATGGGAACTGCCAGCCTCGACAGGCACCAATAGCTTGGATCCCTGCAGGTTGCGAAGGGCCAGTCACCATCTGTTAGGTTTGGGCGCTTCCTGAATGCCCATTCCCTGCTGCACTGCCATCCTGACCAGC